TAGTTTCATAGGTTATAGCTGTTATTTTTGTTTAACTTCTTATCCAAAGAGAAACTTAGTTTAATGGCAAAACTAACCTGGAGAGTAATATTCAAATTAGCAAAAAACATTTCCTCAATTTAATGCAAATATTATACTTTATAAACAGGCATTTGGGGCATTTTATGGAAAAAAGGACTGAATACAGCACAGAGGACAAAACTATTTCAATATTTCATTACCAGCAAGCAGGAACAAATAACATTATCCATATTCAAATTGTGCATTTGAAAACACATTACATTTGAGTTTCAGAGAGGAACAGATGAAAAATTAAAGACACTTGATAGTATGATGGAAACCATTCACAGATTACAATTATTTTCACTCATATATTATAATTTAATATGACAAAACCATTTTAACTGGACAACATGAAGTCACTCCAATCTGCCACATAGAAATACAAAGAGGATTGTTGCACATAATTCTCGAAGGCTGGCAAAAACCACAAACTCTCACTTGATTTTAGGTCTATAATCATTTTAATTAACAGACTGTTAGCCTGCAGGGACATATCTACATGTTCACATCAGCAGAGCATGAAGAAAAACTCAATAAAAAGAAAAAAATACAGGCAGATGGTCAAAGTGAGATGCAAAGTCCCATGAAGTTTCACTACTATGCTTGAAAGGTGTCAGTTATTGCAAAAATAAAATTAAGGATTCATGCACCAGGTCCAAAAGAAATGTAAAGAACGTACAAACTGAAAACATAAATACTTTTGCGATCTATTTCCATTTGTTATTTTCAAAAGAGAAAACTGTCATGGATGTTTACAGAGCAGAGGTCATCTTTTTTTTATTCCAATGGGAGAGATGGACTTTTGTTTATTATTATTTTTTGCTGTATTGTTGGTTACTGTGTTATTTCTGTTTCAAAAGCCAGCAATAAATAACACTTTAATATCTAAAGAGTGTTCATGTGATTTTATATATTAGTAATGTTGGGAAATGAATAAATGCACAATAATCCCCATAATCGTAAAACCGTGATTATTCCTCAGACAATAATCGTACCAACAAAATCTATAATCGTTGCATCCCTATTTGTCACAAGAGAATAAAAATAGCAAAACTGCCTTTTTTGGCTGTTAACGGATGATGAAACACCGTAAAATGTAGGGCTGGGTAAACAATAGATATCTCGATATTAATCGATTCTCATTTTTAAGGAAACGATATCGATTCTTAAATCCTAAGAATCGATTAGTCTAGCCTGTTTTCAGTTAATGGACTGAAATGTTGAAAGGCACTTCCCATTCAATATATTGCAAGCAGCATTGTGCTTTGGTACTTTTATTATGAAACAAAGTCTCAGATTTCAAATTCTGTCCATTCTATTGCTGTATTTAAACAATAAATGCCGTTTTGGAGCCGTTTAATGTGTAGTGACAGATCTCTGTAGCGCCTCAGATCAACAGACGCAGCAGCGCTAGGCGCACGTGAACTAGTCATCTCCTCCACATTAATACCAGCTTCAGCACAAAATAAACATGACTAAACATCCGAAGGTAAGTTAAAAGAAAGTACAACTTTACAATCCATATCTTGTCTCATGTAATCGCTCAATCAGTGTTTCAGCCTCGCAAAGATGTCAATATGGCTTGTAAACAACGTCACCTAACGTCAAATTTACCTCAGAAAAAACATATTTGGTGACCATAAACTCATTAGTCAGATAGAAAAATAAACTGTAGAGAGGGGCATTTTGCTAAATATATGCACCATATAACATATTCATTATAAATGTTACTGTTCTTCAATGTTTAATGTTTGAATAAATTCATCAAGTTTTTATGACAGTCACCATTATGTTTATATTTCAAAAAAAACGAATTGAATTAGAAATATTATTATGTAATTGTAATTTTATTATTTTAAAAACTTCACTGAGTCTAATTTGAACAAATCAGTCAATTTTAACCTTCAATATTATAGTAAATGTATTACCAACTGACTCATGTATATTTTACAGCATTAGTTGAGAGATTTTTTTTCTTTGAAAATTTGGCATGTACTCTACCTGACATGTATCGAAATTAATCGACATTGAATCGAATCGGTAATCGAATCGAAAGCTTGTGAATGAGAATCGAATCGTGAAATTAGTGTCAAAAACCAGCCCTAAAATGACTAAATACTATGGCTGTGAATCTTTGGGTAGACAGCGATTCGATTCGATTTACGATTCATAGGTTTTCGATTCGATTCAAGAACGATTTTTGCAAATTCAGAAAGATTCAATTCAATTTCTATAGAAATCGCGATTCTTCGCATTTTTAATCGATTACTGTCCGAAATCGACGATTCAAAAATCCATGTTCAAGATCGATGCATTGCATCGTCAGGGTTTGTAATCGATGCATCGATAAAACAAGTGAATCGTTACACCCCTACTAAATACACAAGCATACAGCTTCTGGAACAATAGTGGAGAAGCTATGCTCTATTTGAGGATCGTCTGGCAATTAGACTAGCAAATAAAGCTGGCATAATGCCTGCATACATCTCCTTGAGCAGACAGACTGATAAAACGTTACAGAAACACCGGCTGTGCTACAAAGTATCAATTTGCCACAACCGGACTGGATACATTGTATAAACTGCCGTCAGAGTTCCATTTTGGCACGTTCCACCATCCTTCGACAATGAAATGGATTCATTCTGATAGAATATGCTGAACAGCGCATTCTGAGCTCTAGAAGGCCCACATGAATAACATAACAGGGCTACACGCCTGCAATGGGCACAAAAGGCAACAGAATAGGCATTAAAAAAAATCACGCCGTCTCCTAACTGTACACCAAGCAAGCCGCAGCTGCTCTGCTCTTTCATATTTTCACCGTAAACACGTTGCGCAGACGCCGGCTGATTGCGAGCGAATGAATATTCAAAGCTTTATACGTGGGATTGGCTCACGGCACAATACAGCAACACAATGCCGCTGGAGTAGCATTAGCCGCTTAGCATGCACACAGCAGCCTTTAGTTATGATTAACTGTAAAATTCTAACAACCTCTGACCGGGGAAAGTGCAAAACCCCGCGAGCTGTAGCCGATTATGACTAATAAAATATGCAAAGCGGCGATTTCTCGGCGGCGGTATGAATATGTAACGCGGCTGCTCCACTAACACAAAGGAAGCATTTTCCTTTAATTTAGCCGTCGCACTGCATCGCCAGTTTCACCGTCGCACAGACAGAGAATTATTCCCCGATACGTTTATTTAAAGGGTGCATATGAATGCAACATCGGGTTTGAGTATTTTGTTTACGCTTTCCCTACCGCGCTTTACTGGGTTGAGAGAAAGAGTGTTTGAATATGAATATGAATATGTAAAATGCAGTAATGATTACCTGGTCCTGAACTCTCATCTTGACTCGCTGCTCCTCCGTCCGCCATTTTGAATATTTAAGCCCAAATCTTCAAAACACAATACAGAGGCTCACCGATGCACTCACTAACACACACAGCATCAGCATGGCAGATCTGAGAGTTCCCATCAGATCAGTGCGACTCAACTCACCCAGAACCAGCTCCAAAGGACACGCTGACATTGATCGTTAACTATAATTACACTTTCAACTTTTAAAAACACTTTGGACATATGTCCATGCATGCATGCGTTATTGGTCATGTGCAAAAAACAAAAGAACGGGAGAAAAGCTTTGTTTTATGAACAATGTAGTGAATTAATAAGAAAGAAAGAAAAAAAGCTTACAGAGACAATATGTTTAAGTGTCCATTTTACAAATTAATTTTAAGCACTTTTTAATCACAATTTAACCACATCTCACATATTTTATAAAAACTGTATTATTCAACTATTTTTAAAAAAATAACAGTACATCGTGCTACAAGTTAATATAAAATAATGCAATAAATAATAAATAAAGCTGTATAACATACTGAAAGACCAAAATGCCATGACTGCTTCTGTACTTACTGAGTCACATATGACTGTAAAAAAGCAGATGAAACACTATTTAAAAAAAAAATTTTATAAAAGCAATTTTACAAAAAAGGGGGGAAATTTGTCTATTTAGATATTTTTGAAAATGTAACAGTACATCGTGCTACAAGTTAATATAAAATAATGCAATAAATAATAAATAAAGCTGTATAACATACTGAAAGACCAAAATGCCATGACTGCTTCTGTACTTACTGAGTCACATATGACTGTAAAAAAGCAGATGAAACACTATTTAAAAAAATTTTTTTATAAAAGCAATTTTACAAAAAAGGGGGGAAATTTGTCTATTTAGATATTTTTGAAAATGTTACAAATTTTGATTCCGTTACCAAAAATTATATTTATAACATATTCTTTACTGAATCTGACAGAAATGATCCGAAAACAATAAAAGGGCTTAAATGAAATAGCCTATATGGAAAGAGTGAGAGCAAGTCTGTTAACTAGCACAGTTGAGCAGTAAATAGAAACTGATGTTTTTGTGAGCATGGTGTCTGGTAAAGATGAATAGTTCTTTACCAAATGGAAAAATGACCTGTTCACAAAGTGCCTGTATTTCAGTTATGTCTCCTGGACTACCATCTGCTGGTTTTGTGTGGCAACGCACCACAGCTGGAATACACATCCAGTTAGACCAACAACATTTAGATGGGTTGTTCCAAGACATTAAAAATACAAATCTTTTTAATATTACTTAAACAATCACATAGTAAACCTTATGCTTTATCAAGTGATATTGTACACAAGTCATCCTGAATAAAATGCAGGGAGGTTCAAAGCTGTAACACTTAATATGTCCCTTATTGCTAGCTATGTAAACATCCCCTTCCCCTTGCATGTCAGTTCATTTTCCAGCAATGACTCCTAATCTGTACTAATATCACATCTGCCATTTTGTAACAACCTAACTTGTAAAACTTTGAGGAAGAGGATAAGAGTCCAAAGTGCAATAAAGGTGTGGTAGACACAGGCACAGAAGCAAAACAGTTTCGGGTGAGCACACAGGAAGCCAAGAGATAAGGATATATAAAAATATATATATATAAAAATCTACCTGAGAACCACCATCTATTGCAGTGTGATTGGAAAACGACAAAATGACCAACTGGAAGCTGATTTTTTGCAGCCTATGTTTAATATCAGGTGAGGTGGTCGGTTTCCTGACATTCACAATGAGTACAGCAGTCAAGATCAAATCAATGACATTATGTTAGATAAACTAGTTTGTGTCAGTGATTTGTTTTCTTTTCAGTTGCTCTATATGTAACATTTGTTAAAGGATATGTTTTCAAGTATTAATGTTCTTTGTTCTCACAAGAGCTACAAAATGGCGGATTTTTTCAGCTACTTATTTCATTCATTCATTTACATAGACACAATACACAGCATCAGCAGACTTATGCATTCTTAAAAACCGTAATGTATTAATGGGAAAGAATTGAATAAATTATATCATTAAGTTAATATTTATCAGAATGTGTAATAATATAACCACACCGAGTTTACTGATAAACTAAAGTTGTGATTTGTTATACTGTAAGTGAGAACATTTTCAAATGTAGAAAGGAATTTTACTAAATATTTTCAGATCATTCCCTTTTATTTTATCTTTCCCTTTTATCTTAAAATCATTTTTCAATCCTGTGTAATGTTTTTTGAAACCTTTGTGAAATATTATTAAATCCTGCATTAAAACAAACAAAAAAAAATTTTGCATTTTGAAAATGATATGCACGAAGTTCTCTCTCTCTTTGCCTCATAGTGATGTCAGCTAGTTTTGGACTGGAAGTGAAGATGAGTCAAGCTACCATGGAGGTTGCCAGGGGTGATGATGTCACCCTTACATGTAATTTTAAACCTAAAAGTCCAAAAAATGATCTTATCGTTATAACATGGACTGGTGATGCTGATGAGACATCTGGGGAGAAGGTAAGCCAGACAAATTTAAACTGTTTAACCATCATTAGTGTAAAAACAATAACTGTGTAATAATGAATAAACTATCACAATGAAGCCATTAAATGGTTCTTTGTTTTGGCCTCATAGGTCATTTTCGGTAACTATTACTCCTATGGTAAAGTAGACATTGGACCAGACTATCAAGGCAAAGCCGTGATAGAAACTGACCTTGATGCAAAAACATCAAAATTGACTCTAAAACAAGTCACTCTTAAAGAAAGCAGAAGAATTCGATGTTTTGTTCAGATTCCTGGAGACATTGAAGGCAAAACAGCTGACACCAGTTTTCTTTTGGTTCAGGGTAAGATCTGTGGCACATTGTCTCAAAAGAAAAGTCCATATATACATGGTGAGAAGAATCCTTCTCAAATGTTGAATGAATATCTACTTTTTTTTTACAGTTGCACCATCACAACCCCTTTGTAAGGTAGTAGGCACAGCAGAATACGGACACAATATTAGCCTAACCTGTGTCTCTGAGGAGGGCTCACCTACACCAACATACAAATGGGAGAGATATAATGTCAAAAATGTCCCTCAAGCATTTCCTCTCAAAACCACCGAAAGTAAGTTCTGTCTCTCTTTCAATGGAGAGTAATTACAAATGTTGTCACTCTATGCTGTAGTTTAAACATTATTTTGTGCAACAGAGGATGGAGTTCTGTCTTTGGTCAATGTGTCCATGGAGACATCGGGTTACTATATTTGCCTGTCAAGCAATAAGGTTGGATCAGCCAAATGTAACATGACATTGACCGTAATGCCGTGTGAGTATTGCCACATTTGTCTGCTTTCTTTCTTTTTAAGGTGATCATTTATTTTAGTCAGATTACCAGTTATTTTACCATGTATTGATATTAAAGATCTTGATATTATAGCTTAATGTCAACATGACAATTGACCTGGTTTACTGTGTACACTCTTATTAGTTTATGTTACTCCAAAACACACACAAAAATGTGTAACTATTATATGTTTTGGTGAGGTTCAGGGGTGGACCTTCATGCTTACCATTTGGGTTTACTGGTATTCTGATATGTGCAAGTACCTTATAGTAGTAAAATGTTTAATGTGTGAAATATTGACCTCTGATGACCCTTGACTGATTTTCATTTCCATGTCTTTCTGTTTTTACAGCCTCTATGAATCTTGCTACAATCGGTATTGTGGCTGGTTGTATTGCTGGAGTTACAGTGCTCATAATAGTCATCATCTGCTGCTACCGCAAACGGAAACAGAAACAGAAACCAAAAGACTATGAAATGCAGTAGGTCTCCATATGCTCTCAAAGTAATAGGTTAAGTGATTGTTGGTTTTTGGGTGGTAGGTTGTTAGGATATGTTTTTACCCATCTGTATGTTTGTTTATTGCCTCAGGAATCCAATGGTGGAATACCATGACAACCCACCACTAGAAAATACTGAGGACGGGAATACAGACATCATGGCAATCACTGAAGAGGGAACTGACAAAGCTTGCACTGATGACCTCAAAAATCACTTTGATTACCGCAGAGGTAGCCGTGATGACCTCGGAGACCCTGATGACCGCAGAGGAAGTCGTGATGGCCTCAGAGACCCTGATGACCGCAGAGGTAGTCGTGATGAGCTCAGAGATCGCTATGATGACCGCAGAGGTAGTCGTGATGACCTCAGAGACCCTGATGACCGCAGAGGTAGTCGTGATGAGCTCAGAGATCGCTATGATGACCGCAGAGGTAGTCGTGATGACCTCAGAGACCCTGACGACCGCAGAGGTAGTCGTGATGACCTCAGAGATCGCTATGACGAACGCAGAGGTAGTCGTGATGACCTCAGAGATCGCTATGACGAACGCAGAGGTAGTCGTGATGACCTCAGAGATCGGTATGATGACCAAAGAGATCGCTATAGATAAAATCAGCAAGATCAGCATGATAATCGAACCATTTAATTATTATGACCACCACCAAAATGTTTTGCTAAAAGGACAACCACTATGTCAAGATGGTATCCAGTGTTTATTTTTGTTCTGAAGTTGTTTAAACATGTTGTTGGAGCTACTATATTGTTCTATTGTTTTATTAGCCTATATTTTCCCCTGTGTTGATAATCAAATCAAATTGTGGTGTAAACCTGCCGATGAATCATCCTTTTTTATTTGATTTTACAGGATTTTAATAGAATTTTGTATACAGCAAAAAAGTTGTTTTATGTCTGTTAGCTAAAGTAATTGACATTTTTATTCGGACAGTCCTTCTGAATCATGGATGGATGTATTCATTTATTTTTTATAGGCAGGGGTTCACATGTAAATACACACTAATGTAAACTGCCCTCTCAAGGTTTTTTTTTTTTTTACATTTTTGTACATTACATGGCTGGAACTAATTACACACACCTGCTTTTCATAGTCTAAATAAAAGGTGATTCGACCCAGCCTACTTAATTAAAAGTAAACTGTTTCATTTATTTTTCCCCAATAAAATGTGTCTTTGGAACAACAGCAAACACAAAATACATAATAAACACATAATAATGCTTTCAACTCACACTTGAAGTATCACCTTAAAGTATCTTTTTTCCCCTTTAGCCTACGTTTAATGCAATATTGCTGTATTTGTCTGACAGACGCATCCACTTTAAAAAAAATTGGAGACTGTTTCTGTGGCTGTTATATAAAGTAGTTTCTCATATTTCTTTGACATCCGTTTCATTGGGTACAAAAATGCACTCGGTTTTTGTTTTCAACTCAGCAACAACCGTTTAGCATCTTTTAATATATTAGTTTTTAATTTTCACAGTCGCTTCCCCTTTTAATAAAGTGGTACAGTCCGCTCATTCTGACCAGCGCAGCAGACAGAGATGAATTTAAGCGAATAACAGTCCGGGAGAAGATGGACTACATACCTGTAAACTAAACCGCACTAAACTGGATCATGGTTTTGTTACACGGATTCTGGATTCTATTCATGCTATTTTCACGTGAGTTGATCTGTTTTCTATTTGACCGCGATATAGAAATACAGAAAACTAGGACACACAACTAAAGCATCAGGTTGAGAGCTTAGAAAACCTTGAGCCCGGCTTTATTTTTAGATTGATCACGGGTCCCTGTGACGGTTTTTACTATAATCCATTTACATTTACACCTGACAATGCATTTACAATTTACTAATTTTATTTATTTACTTTAAAAAAAAAATCAAATAAATCATTCTTTTTACGCTTTTTATTGTTAAATGAGTCTGTTACATTCTAACTTTTGACAAGCTTCAAGTTAACTTAATCTAACTCAAATAAATAAAATAATAAAATATATTACTCTGATTTAAATCAGCATGTTTCTCTGTTCAGCATAATATATTAATCTTTATCACTGATTATTATAAAATGTCTGCATATGTGTAATGTATAAAAGGGATTTCACAACTAAAGTTTTACCTAGCCTTCTTTAATTATACAGCATAGACAAACATTTGAAACTATTTATCATCCCAAAGTTGTTATTGTGGGAAGTGCTGCTGGAATGTGTGTCAGGGAGTGCAGCTGCATTGTATCAGTTCTTGAAGGGTGGATGCAACAGAGACAATACAATATATGATGATATTTTACGAGTAGGCCTATGTCGGTGGCCAACTTTGAGAACTAAAACTACACTCCATAAAAACCCTCTCAGAAGAAGGAATGTGCATACATTTTTTTAAGGAAAAGTTGTTTTGAGCTGGTAAAGAGCTGAATACTATTTTCAATATCATGTGATGGTAAAATTTACACCTGACAATGCATTTACAATTTACTAATTTTATTTATTTACTTTAAAAAAAATCAAATAAATCATTCTTTTTACGCTTTTTATTGTTAAATGAGTCTGTTACATTCTAACTTTTGACAAGCTTCAAGTTAACTTAATCTAACTCAAATAAATAAAATAATAAAATATATTACTCTGATTTAAATCAGCATGTTTCTCTGTTCAGCATAATATATGAATCTTTATCACTGATTATTATAAAATGTCTGCATATGTGTAATGTATAAAAGGGATTTCACAACTAAAGTTTTACCTAGCCTTCTTTAATTATACAGCATAGACAAACATTTGAAACTATTTATCATCCCAAAGTTGTTATTGTGGGAAGTGCTGCTGGAATGTGTGTCAGGGAGTGCAGCTGCATTGTATCAGTTCTTGAAGGGGGGATGCAACAGAGACAATACAATATATGATGATATTTTACGAGTAGGCCTATGTCGGTGGCCAACTTTGAGAACTAAAACTACACTCCATAAAAACCCTCTCAGAAGAAGGAATGTGCATACATTTTTTTAAGGAAAAGTTGTTTTGAGCTGGTAAAGAGCTGAATACTATTTTCAATATCATGTGATGGTAATATGCCTCCCTGTAATAGTTTGGTTAGCATCAGCATTTCATTAACACATATAATCTAGTAAAGTTGTCTGCTAGTAACGGCTTGGTTTAAATCTCTTTAACCTAATTGGGTGTTCATGAATGACTGAGTCAATGAGTGTGTCTTATTGGTGGGACCTCAACATCCCCCTCCTGCACTGAGTCTTAGTGGGTGGGGGTTCACTATAATGGCAAACAATGAGTCAAACAGGCAACAGAGAGGACAAAAGGAGGACCCCATCTACCCTGAACGGAGCATTAATGAATGTATTCCAGAATTCTCGCCTACATCCCCCTCAGCAACACGAGCATTCTAAAATACAGTTGGAAAATGCTCAGGAAGTTGCTCCATTTCCTCTAGAGCAACAATGAATGAGTGAAGATCTCATCCAGACATCTGTGGTGACTTGTTGTTATATATTTTTATGCAATGTGCTCCACCCTTTGACAAGAGTTACAGTATCTCTGTGTTTGTGGGAGAGACCTCCTCCCTACTTGTACTCAACTTGATCTTTTGTAAGAGTTTTCTCAGAATATTTCGGTTTCACCACCCCACCCCAAACAGTCAGAGCCGGTGACGTCTCTCCAAAAAATGACAGCCCCCACCTCTCTGCGCCCCCTGCATAGCATGGAATTTAACTTTCTTTACTCACACTTCTTTCTTTCTTTCTCAGTCTCTTTGTTTTTCACACCAGCAGATCATCCTCTCAGGCGCTTCTCTGATTTTGTCCAGCGTTCTGTTTCATAATCTCCCACACACGGCTGGACAAACACACTCTTTCATGCTTAGAAACACACACACATACATTCAAATGCTGACTGACTGGATCCAGATGTTTTTAGGCATTTGTTTTCAGGTCATCTCACTTTATAATCTCTAGCTGATAAAGTGAATTCCCTTTGGAATGGTGTGACTAAGCATTCTCGAAAAGAGGCACTGAGCAAATATTTTTTCTTTTGATCCACTGGTTGGTTAGACCTAGACTGAGAAAGGGCTTTTGGTAATGATCACATGCCTGTCTCTGACACTATGAAATGTACCATTAGACTCAAACACCATACTAATCATGAACAGGTCAGTAGTCATTACAGTTGCTGCTGACAGCTCACTGTATCTTGGAATTTGCATTACTCTCTTTGCTCATGGGTGTGTTTACTTAATATGGTGATTTTAGTCTGTCTCAATTCTTACTGTATCCAATAATTTAAATAAAAACTGTCTGAATTTTGACATAAATTGCTGAAATGACATTTAATAAAAAAAAATTGTATAACTAATTCTAATGACCAATTCAATCAACAGCATGAGAATAAGCCAAGCAAATTATTTTAATGAATGAATGAAGTTTTACAGAAATTGTAGTGTTGACTTTATTTTAATATTATACTTTTTATATTTATTTGCTAAAAAATAACATCACACAAAACAGGGTTCTACACTGTATTTAAATGTTTTAAAATATTATTCTACAAACTGTTTTGTAGAATAATATAAAAAAATTATTCTGTATTTAAATATTATTCTACAGACGTTCGTAGAATAATATTTTGTCTTAATTCTAACTGTCCTAACAGTTCTATAGAAGCAATCATGAATTTGCAATACAAATATAGCTTTTGCAAATCCTGCATATCTCAGCTTCCTGTCTGGTGCTCTACATAAGGGCTGGAGAACACTACATGACTTTAACAGATTTTAAAAACGCTAGCGATCATACACTTGCCGACCTTATAAATTGTTACAGAGATAAATTAGCCATCATACACTAAATGACTGAGGATCACAGACTTTTCAAACTGTTCCAAAACACTACAAAATCATTGAAACACATACCTTGTTACAAGGAGATGCATGACAAATGAAAACAATATGTGATATCCTTCTACTGGATAGCTAATGAATTAAAGTCTGTGCATATCATACTCTTTTCTGTGAAATCTGCAGACTAGCTCTGACTTTCATCAACTAGTGTCGACTTGTGTAGTGTATTCAGCCGTAAGAGTAATTGTGTTACTGTCATTCAGTAATGTTTACCTTTTTTCTCACTAAATCTCCTTCTCTCTTTTTGGCACAGTGCAAAATTGTAATGGTGTACAGGTGATTGTGAAAGATGAAAAGAAGTTTGCTATGCTGTTCTCCTCCATCGTTCTTCCGTGTCATTACACCACCCACTCCTCTCAAACCGCCGTGGTGCAGTGGTGGTACAAGTCCTACTGTACAGACCGTACTCGCGATTCCTTCACATTTCCTGAGTCCCTGGGAGTCCATGTATCTGATCTGGGAGCCACGTCTCATCTGGATTGCTCTGACAACAGCCGCACTGTTCGCATAGTGGCCTCAGCACAAGGATCGTCCATGACCTTAGCAGAGAACTACAAAGGAAGAGACATTTCCATCATTAACAGTAATGCGTTTCTGTTGTCTTATAAGTGTGTGTGTGTGTGTGTGTGTGTGTGTGTGTGTTTTAAGAGATTTAGTTTGATTGGAGGTGAAGTTAAATCAAATATAAGGCAGAATATTTAATTTTATCATGAATTTATAAACCTTTCAGTGTTTACGGATAAATAAGTTGCACAAAATGACAACATTGGTCACCTGGAATGTGAAATTCCAACTTAATGGTTCACAAAGGGACTTCCATTATCATTTATTAACTAGTCAACTCAACAGGTTAGTCTCAAACACAAAACTGTAAAAAGGTCAACAAGTTTCCAGCCTAAATAACATCAATATTAGATTAATTCATGAAGCAACACTGTCCAAAATATAGATCAAATATGGATCTAGTCTACAATTAAAAATATATAATTTAATTGCATAGAAAAAAAATGACCAAAGTGCAATTTATTTTATAAAGGCAGCTCAAGCAATATACTGTAGATATTTGGACACATTTGGGGTGTCAATTGGTTTGGGTAATTGTGCGCACCAAGGCTGCATTTATTTGATCACAAAATGTAATATATTGCAAATATATATGGTTACTCTGCTAGCACACCTGTGTGAAAATGAGGGGAACTAATTCAAACCGCCACAAACACTGGGATTTAGTTAGTTAAAAGTAACTACAAAATGACATCAGTTCTAAAAAAAAAGGTCTGGCATAATTTGTTTGCAGATGCTACTTATTTAATATTTCTATTTAATGCAGTGACATTCATAAAATGACATTTAACTCTGGCTTAATGGACCAAATACTTCTTGAGGCCACTGTGTAATAAAATCATCTTGTTATGTTATTACATTTTGAGCCTGCTCTACTCTCAAGTCTGCAGTCTTGTGCGTAATCCATCTCCCCCTTAGGAAACCCAGCCGATTGTGCTGTGTTTTCCTGTTCCTTAAATAGGGCTGTTTTTTTTCTAGGTCGCACAATGGTCAGGGGGCTGGACCTCATAAAGGTCTCCCAAAACACCCCCACGGCTTTCCTTATCAAACGCAAACACCCTCTCCTCTGACTTAGGCATCAAAGCTCTTCCTCCTCCAGTCACCTCTCCAACAAAGACTATGACTGTTCTGACAAAATATTACAGAAAGATAATAAGTATGAATAATGTGTTGTTCCTACTGATTAAAAATGTTAGGTGCTAAAAGTAAATCATGCAACTGACTTAATATGTTTTTATGTTACTGTGTAAACCAAAAAATTTAAATATTAAAATAAAACATTTACTCCACTACATTTGACCCTTCGCAAAGACCCGCCCCCCTTCGTTACTGTTGCTATGTCCGACAAGCCATGCCGCTCTCACGCAGTGAAAAATACATCGCGGAGCAAAGAGGATACTGAAAACATTTTCATTTTTAAAGAAATTCAAACAATAAAAACCGGTTTGTGGCTCTTTAATGTGTCATGCACCTCAGTTCATGCGGCAAGTAAACCGATCATCTCTTCCTCATTACTAGTTATTGCATGAAATAAACATGAATAAACATCAGAAGGTATCTTGTTTCAACCGCGGAAAGATCTCAATACACACATTTTTTCAAGTTTAAGTCCACCGATGTTAATCTGCTTTCCTGTCTGATTTGTTTGTCGGACAAAAATGGCAGATTCGGCATTATGATTGGTCAGATCGCCTGTCAATCAAACTCACTGCAAACGGTCAGTTAAACAGCTTGGGTTATAAGCAAATATTTTCTGGCTTTTTCAGAAGCAGATCTGCGCATTGGACAGCTGCAGTGGGGCGACAGCGGTGTGTATTTCTGTAAGGTGATCATTTCTGATGACCTGGAAGGGAAAAATGAAGGCCAGGTGGAGCTACTGGTGCAGGGTGAGTCTCATGAGTGCATATCCTTCTCAAAAACTGAGTCAAGACTACAAAAAAGCCAGTTGTTGTCTGTACTGTATAACATGGTTTTAGAAAAGTTTGAATTGCTTGAAAAAAGTGCCAGTGCCTATGCTTTAGGGACTACATTTTTGTGATTATTTACAGAGTTTACAAAAATGTTTATTTTTGTGTGTGCATGCTTGGTTATTGTGTCTAAATGATTGTTAATGCCAATCCCTGTCTGAATTCCTGAGTCCACTTGCACGCGCTGCCATGACAACAACCAAATGGCACATGCCTCTCGACAGGGCTCAGATCCTTAATAAGAGACGCTATTGTTCATTTGTGCCCCGGCAGATCAGGAAAACCTCACATATTTTACACGTCCTGGGCAGGAACACTGCGGAGAGAAACAATTTGTTTGGTGCTGTGGGACTGACCCTAACAGCATTAATTATTTCTGTGTCAGCTGGACAAAGCAAAGTCAGACGCCTCATGCCAGACAAAGAGTAAATAACTGACTGTTATCGACGTGAGCAATATAAGCCACTTCTTAAGCCATTTCCATGGTAACGAAGGGGGTTTCAGGGGCTAGGGGATGCCAGGGCCTCCAGAGCAGTCCTGTGCGGTGAAGAGAAAAAACCATGAGAGGGTTAGAGCTTACACAGGAGGATCAATGAGAGTGTTATGTAGACGCTAAGAAGTGGAAGAAGTCTATGCTGCCCTCTGAGTAATCAAGATTTAATTGGTTTATGAAGTGGAGAGTATAATCTGGAGTATTGGTGGTTAAAAGTTTGACTTTGTACCAGACACTCCCTATTTCATCAAACATGCTGTGTAGTCATGCTTTACTTACAGTTTAGCTCTTGATTGTTAGTGGTGGATGCCAAGGAAAGCAACACTATTATTACTTAGGATTAGGTGATTGCACAGTAAAAATGAACAGTAGGCTTACTATATTCAGAATTAATTAAAACAATTTTAGTGCAAAGTCAAAACATCAAATGAAACTCACCTCTTTAGCAATGTCTTACCAAGAATGTGACCACATTTTCTTAGACAACAAATTACTGTGGAAAAAAGTAGGTTATTATTCTAAACAATTAAAGCAACTATAAGTTTTTTTTAACTTGAAATGTAAGTTCAATTCACTCTTGACTCTGGTAATAAGGTGAATGCCTTCTGTTTATTTTTCATGCTTCCCCTCTAATGTTCTGGGAGTATATAGCTTGGTGAGTGGGTATGAAATTCTGCCAAAACCGTGGATTGTTTTACCGCAACAACAAATGCATGTGTACAGCTATATTTTGTAATTACGACAGTGATATAGTCTATTTACGAACACACAGTTGCTTTAAATTTCATATGATGTCTTAGTTATCCCCTTCAGCTGAAAACTTATACCATATTAACTTTTAATTCATTTTCTCTCAGTCGTCATAATAGTGTTATAGGACACACACAGCTGCAGTGAATTGTATGCAAAAATGCATAATTATTTGCTCTTAAAGGGGTAGGTGATCTGTTTTTTTTTTGGTCTATACACTGAAAGTCATTGGGGTTCATTGTTGTTTTGGACCCCATTGACTTCAAAATATCCTGTTTTGTGTTCCGCAGAAGAAAAAAATCATAGAGGTAAAATTTTTTGGGCGAACTATCCATTAAAGGGATAGTTCACCCAAAAATGAAAATTCTGCAATTAATTAATCACCCTCATGCCATTCCAAACATGTAAGAACCTTCATTCATCTTCGAACACAAATTAAGATCCGAGAGCTTTCTCACCCTGCATAGACAGCAATGCAACTACCATGTTCAAGGCCCAGAAAGGTAGTAAGGACATTGTTAAAATATTCCATGTGACATCAGTGGATCAACATTAAGTTTATGAAGCTACAAGAACAAAGAACGACTTTATTCAACAATTGTGTTCTGACTCAGAACCCGGATGCACTGTGCATTGTTTACAAGCAGAGGAATGCACACATATGCATCGTGGTACTGTTGTGAACATGCATCGAAGACTGACATAAAAGAGAATCTTTTTTTTAAAGATTTAATTTTGGCATTTTAGCCTTTATTTTGATAGGACAGTGTTTAGACAGAAAGCAAGGTGGGAGAGAAAGAGGGGGACGGGACCGGGAAAGGTCTGCAAGCCGGAACTTGAACTCGGGACACCCCGAAGCGCAATGGCGCTATATATCGGTGTGCTGCCCACAAGGCTATTGGCGCTGAATAAAGAGAAGAAATGGTTGAATAAAGTCATTATTTTTGTTTTCTTTCCACACAAAAAGTATTCTCGTAGCTTCATAATATTATGGTTGAACCACTGATGTCACATGGACTATTTTAACAATGTCTTACTACTTTTCTGGATCTTGAACGTGATAGTAGCATTGCTGTCTATACAGGGTCAGAAAGCTCTCAGATTTCATCAAAAATATATTAATTTTTGTTCTGAAGAGGAACAAAGGTCTTACGGGTTTGGAATTAATGGCAGTGTAAGTAATTAATGGCAGAATTAAAATTTTTGGGTGAACTAACCCTTTAAAAAGTCTGATAATGACTTGCAGTCTATTCTACACAGCTTGCCTTCCCTATATTTCTGCCTGTCTCTCTTTTCACGTCTCTACATCTCTTCGTGAGGTCCCCTTTACTCTCAGGTTACGGTGGGTTTAATGACTGTAACAGAGGAGTAGAGGACTTGGATATTATTCCTCTTCCTGTCTGCCAGCTCAGCACTTCCTGTCACTCAGGGATAAATCTGCTCTGACAGTGGGCAGTTATTTTTATGGCACCCTCTCATTAAGTTTAAAGACTTATGGCATTTTGTGAAGACCCGTAAAATTTGAATGTTTACAAAGTCACAACGAAATGGGAGTAGTGACAAATCTTTTATCCAGTTCATTTCGAAATGTCAAAATTAAAAGAAGACATTAAATGCATGAATTATTTGTTCAGTTTAGAAAACATAGGATGACTTCATGGTGATTTTAACAGATAAGATAATGTCTTCTGCACACTTGTTGCATTAGGATTTGTATACAGTCAAAATTTGGGGTCTTAAGCTAAACACTGCGGCCAGTCTTGATTTTTGGTGCTATGCCAGTCATTGACAAAGTACACTCAGTGTAAAATAGACAGTACATCTAAAGCCACTCCTTCATTTCTCTCTCAGGGAAGATGTTTGTTGAAAGGTAATTGGACAGTGCTCTGGGACACCTTTTAATTCCAAACAATGCCAGCACTGTCTCCATGGTGATGATGTACCCTTGCCCCCCTTTCAGGATAGTTAATGAGGCTATGTGATGAATTAGTCTCCCATATTCCTCCTCTGTCTCTCCCGCTGAAGCCCCCTCTACCTCATCTCTTTCTCACTCTCTCCATTAGTGCACATTAGTGAAACTGATCTCTGCTCGGGCCAGATATAAATACTGAACGAATGCACACATCTACATTAGCATAAGCCCTGGGAACCAGCAACATGTCAACAAATCATTACTGTCAGTTGCTAAGCTGTATAAAGAAATTATGTTTAGACAAGAGCTCTTTTTTTTCTTAACCCATTTTTATAAATCCGTTTTCATTGCTTCCAAATCACTGCTGTTTGCATCTTTTGTATTTATAAATAAATTTTATCCAGTATAATTCTATAATTAAAAAATACATAAATGGTACATACATCAAACTGTATATATATAGCTTGATGTTTGGACTTGGAAGCTTTATTTTTATTTGTAACTTTTTTATTAGTTATTTATTTTATATTTCAATTACTTTTGACTTTAAATGTTCATGTGTTACTTTGATAATTTGCATACACAAGTTGCATGGTCATACATCATCCTTACAAGTAATGTTATGAACCAAAACTTCAAAAAAAAAACAGCACTGGCCTAAAATTAGTTTCTCATCCAGAGACAAGTTTGACCTTTCACCCTTTTCTTGGTATCTGTCAGTGACTGCGAGCACACACATACACACACACCTAAGCGCATACACTACCAATCAAATGTTTGGGCACACCTATGTATGCATTCTTTATTTTTAATATTTTTACATTGTAGAATAATAGTAAAGCCATCACAGCCATGAAGTAGCAAAACTGAAAGAATGGGAATTACGTAGTGACCAAAATTGTTATCCACTCATGCCTAAATTTCAAGTATTTAACCATCACCAGAAACATAAATTTAGTGAAGTGTGTCCAGAGATTTTGACTGGTATTGTATATATATATATATATATATATTTCGCTATGTGTAAAGCGTGAGGCTAAGCGAGACTTCTGATTTGCACTTATATCTTGT